GCTATAAGGAAAGTAGTACGATGATGACTTTATCGTACTGGATTTGTATGACAGATTTGATGTCATCCTTGGTCTGCCATGGCTTAGGAAGTACTAGCCATGGGTTAGCTGGCAGCATCTATTCGTGAAGATGCCTGCCGTTTGTTCATCGGATGTCCATCTGATGAACGTCTTGGAGCGTCCACAAGCGTGTGGATGTACTACGAGTGAGTGCGATGGTCTCACTTGTGGTACGGCCGTTAGTACGATTGCACAAGATCACAGTGTAGAAGGCCACTGCACTGTGGAACCAGCTTCCGGCACCTGTGTAGAGACACAGGCTGCGCCGAAGGTTCACCACTCAAAGAGGTCGAGTGGACTGGAACACGGATGCACACAAAGAAGGGTGCATCTGAGAAGAGAGACTATTGTTTTTCAGGATGGACAACACGTTGAAGCGAGATCGCCTATCAGAGCGTCGATCGTAGAGCAAGCCCGATCGAATGAAAGGGAGTCAATCGAAGAGGACGTGACTGTGGTAGTTCAACCACAGTTAGTACACGTATTGGAAGAAACTTCCAGCGTTCCTGAGAGTGATAACTCCCGAGATAGTTATGTTGAGGGTTTGGATCCCCAACCACCTGCGGATGTGTTTTCCCAGGAAATCACCGAGACAGTGAACGTCTTGGTGAATGACGGATCAAGTGTAGGCCCTTATACACTTGACTGGTTACGCCCCCGAAGTCAGCTTCGGAGGTAGTCAAGTTGCCAACGATAGAATCTGAAAGATTCTTGCGAGATCTGCGTAGCGAAAAGATCAGCAGATCTGCGTACTCGTCACAGAGGACGAGTACGTCGCCGATATTCGGTCGGCAAAAGTGTTTGCTGAGAACGAACGGGTTTTCAGTAGCTCATCGATGGACGAGAGTGTCCTCGATGAGAAGACGCGGATTGAGCGATACACGTCTCAATCTTGGTAGTCATCAAAGAAAAATCCTTTGTAAAAGGGATTTTGTTGAATTCAGGGATGTTTTCCCGGAATCCGTGCCATGCGAGTTGCCTAAGGATAAATGCACTCGGCATGAGATCGAACTGAAACCTGGTTCAAAATACTGTATCATGAAGCAGTGGCCACTGCATCATTAACAGGTAACAGCGATCGTCAAATTCTTTGCTGATCGTTTAGCGGCTAGTCGTGTGAGGAAATCAACATCCCCACACAGCTCTCCGATCTTCTGTGTGCGAAAGGCCACAGTAAAGTGACGGATAGTGCACGTGTTCAACATGCTGAACGCTGCAAAAGTACCGACTCAAAATTCGATCCCAAGAAAGAACGTCATCATAGATGGTATGGCAAAGAACCACCATCTTTTCGTCCATGGATTTGATGGATGGATATTATCAGATCCTCATGCGTGAACGGGATATCCCTTACAAAGCAGTGAGCACCCCCAGTGGTATGCTCTGGGAGTGACTAGTAATGCCACAGGGGCTAAGCAACGCCCCTGCAACGTCCAACAGATGTGTTACAAATCTGTTGCGATCGGTGCGCGATCTCTCACACCGAGTTACTTTGACGATGTCTTCGTCCATAGCCGGGCTATGGATGGAAATACGGACGTGGAGGTTCATGTAATCCACGTCCGGAAGGTTCTTACTCTAATGCGAGAGCATAAGTCGTTCGCGGACCTCAAGAAGTGTATATTCGCAGCGAACGAAATACCACTTCTTGGCTGCATCGTGGGTAAAAACGGTGTACGCCCTGATCCGGAAAAGATTAAAGCGATTAGCGACTGGCCTGTGCCAGCCGACGTCTAGGGACTCCGAAAGTTCCTTGTCCTGGCAGCGTATGTGCAAAAATACTCGCGCAACTATGCCGAGATGACCATACATCTCTCTCGTCTGCTAAGGAAAAATGAGGGGTGGTCATGGAGCGCTGAGTGTCAGCACTCTTTTTGAAGGCATCAAGAAAAGCTTGATACAATCGCCTGTGTTGGCGATTGCAAACCAAGACAGACCATATGTGGTCTGTGACGCCAGCGATTTCGCAATCGGCTGCGCGTTATGCAGTACGACTCAGACCGCGTTGAGCGCGTCGTCTGTTATCAATCGCGTCAGCTGCAAGCAGCTGAGCGAAATTATCCGGTGCATGACAAGGTGCTCCTTGCCATGAAATATGCACTGGCCAAGTTTCGGGTATATCTCTCAGGAGATAGGCCCTTAATCATTTATACCGACCCTGCGTCAATACTCACGGCAGGAAACAGTCCACACCTCTCGCAACGAATGGCGAGGTGGCTGTCTTTCTTCGCGGAGTACAACTTCTCCGTTGAGTATAAACCAGGACGACTTAATGTCGTCGCTGATGCTCTTTCGCGTCGGCCCGATTTGGAACCGACTTCTCAACCCAACAGATGGGGTCATCTCACTGTCGCGACACTAACAGTGTGTGTTCTGTCGTCGAATCTGCTCGACGATGTGCAAAAAGCATACAAAGAAGATGAGTCTCTTCTGCGGTTGGTGGATTACGTGTCCAATATGTGTAATCAAGCTTTGAAAAGCTTGCCGTCTCAATACCGCTCTTCAACCGAACGGTCTTCTGTTTGAGATGGACTGCTGTACTTTACAGCAGTCGACGGCGACATACCTTGTGTCGTCGTTCCGGCTCATAATGGTTTGTGATTGCGCATCATGTATGAGCGTCACGATGCTCCGACAAGTGGGCATCGCGGTAGAAAAGACTTATCTCATGGTGAGTCGTGACTTCTCCTGGCACCGCCAGTATGAGTTTGTGCGCAAATACATTCGCGCTTGCGAAGTTTGTCAACGGGTGAAGCCTAGTCCTTCATCCCGCGCACCCTTGCAGCCTCTTCCGATTCCGGCAGAGTGTTGGCAGTCCGTATCAGTGGACTTCGTTTATAGGTTTTCTAAAGACGACCACAAGAATACTGGTATTCTTGTGCTTGTTGATCGGTTCGGCAAGATGTTACATCTTGTTGCTGTACCGGAGTCAATCATAGCCCAGGGCAGTGCGCGTGTCTTCATCGATACTATCTTCCGACTTCACGGATTATCCCGTGAACTCGTGTCCGACAGGGACCCCCCCTTTACGGCGGAGTTCTGGCAATCCGTGTTCCGTTCACTCGGAACACGCTTGACGATGTCAACTTCTGACCATCCAGAAACAGATAATTACATGAAACGCGTCGACCACGTCCTCGAAGAGATACTTCGAGGTATGTCCACTCGTTTACGATCTGGAGTGAGTTCTTGCCGATGGCAGAATTCGCCATCAACAACTCGGTGCACGCGTCGACAACGCATACACCGTTCTTCGTGAATGGACTACGCCATCCACGTTTGCCTGCCTTCTTAAAGTGTGACTCTAGTTTAAGGGGGAGTGGACTCGCTCGAACAAAAACCGATCTGGATTTTGCTCATTACCCGTCGACAATGGTGTTGACGTGATGGATGCCGATGTCGATGCGATCGATATCGATGATAATGATGACGACGATGCTGGTATATGCAGCATCGCCAATGACTGACAAAGTGAGGACGATGATGCCCTGACTGGTGAAGACAACGTTCGTTCAGCAGTGCACACGAAGCGCACTGCTCTTGACAAGGATGAATCAGCAGAGGAATTTCTGCTGACTCGTCGAGCGGTTGTCCGCTTCGTTCAAGACTTTGTTGCAGATGTACTAGACGGACAGAAGAGATACGCGGACAAATATGGAAGATCAAATGTTCTTCCATTTGATGAAGGAGACCTTGTTTTACTGTCTACAGAAGATCTAACAAAACACGCAGTGACAAACGTGGGCAGAAGTAATTATTGCCCAAGTACATCGGTCCATTTCGTGTGTTGCGCCGAATGGGCAACGCATACACGATTGAACTGCCCCGTACGACGTGTACGCATCGTACTTTTTACGTCGGTCTTCTCCGCCCGTACTATCCGTATGAGACCGTTTCGAGATGCGAAGAACACCTCCGCGGCCGAGGGCCGAGACCACCTTCGAGTGGTCCCGTTTCAACGATCCAGTCTGGTCGACTAGCGAAGCGATCTGTTCACGCAGTTTAGCGATGTCTCGACGAGCTACATCCATCTCGTCAAGAAGAGAACGAGTCGAACGTTCTTTCTCAAGTTGCGCGAACGCATAATCCGCACGATCGTCCGAACGGTCGTGCGTTAGAAAATAGTAATTATTCCTTACAAGATCCTCAAGCCCATAGCACCGAGTCCGTACGTGAGCCATGTCATCCTGCAACTGTTCCGTTATACGGTTTAGCTCTTGAACATCAATCTGATCCGACCCTCGAGCCGGATCAGGTGTTCCTGCCGCCACCACATTCTTTGGTGGACTCAATCGGTGGTCAACGCTTCCTAGTAGAGCGTATTTTTATCCACCGCGATGTGCGACCCACCGGCGTGGGATAGATGGGAGCCTCGTGCCCAGCTAATTGTTGATGCCCTTGGTCTCGTCGAGCGGTACGACGAGACCCACCCGCTGCGTTTGAAGAAGGGAAATCGGAAAACGACCTCCCCGAACGCGAGTACAGGAATTGCAAGGTGTCAATCCCTTCGGCCATCTCGGAAGAGATGCGCGCCCTCCAGTAGGGATCATTAGGGAGGAAGGCCTCCCTAGGGGAACGGTTCGAGTTGTCCAGGCAACTTGGACACGAATAACCCCACGAGAGACAGGGCAATCCTGCCTCTCTTGAAAGCAGATGCAACTTGTATCGCTCCCCGAATGAATTGCGTTTCTCAAACCTGATGCGAGCTGCATCAAGTTTGGCGAGCCAGGCCTCACGGCCAATACGCTCGATGTTATGGATGAGGGCATTCCATTCCTGCACCAAGGCTTTGCCGTATCGAACACGGCTGCCATTGTACCACCGATGTTTGAAAAAGGCATCGGTGAAGAATTGTTCCTCAGCATGGATAGTTTCCGTGCTGGAATCAGGTGGGCAAATCTTCCTGTAATCGAACAACGGGATTCGATACCGTTCGGGAGTCATATCGACCAACCGGTCCAACTCTCTTGATGGCGGTATCTACGAAGACTCCACTTGGGGAGCGTGGCGCAGGACAATTCGGTCCCTGGCCTCTTGATTTTTCCAGCATGAGCACTGGCACCAGTGTTACCCTGATCCCTTGAGTAACTTTGCTCGTGGTAACGTACAGGCGCATCACCACCATCCCCACGCGTCCTATCGTTAGACGGACTTGCGTAAAGCGGAGATTCATCGGAATAATCACTCGATCCGAAGATCTCGGACATGATACAGCCGCGTTTACCAGAGCCAGCCAGCCTGGCTCTTGCAGTGCCCACCCCGGGTGTTTCGGAGGCGTGAGGCGTCGCCTTCGAGTCGTATGCATCATCCGACTCGCCAGAATAGATGAGCTCTATCTCACACTCGTCTTGATTACGACTTGTAGCACCCTCTGCAGACGCAACGGATGTACCTGTCGCACGTGGTGACTCACCACGTGGAGGATTCACGACAACAGGCGACGAAACACCTGCTGATGAGGTGTGAGAGGCACTTTCCGTGGCTGCACGCATGCGTGTAGCCGCTCTTCTTACTGCTGCAGTAGCAGCTCGCGTGGTTTTAGAAACCATGCGTTGGATTGGCAAATGAATGGGATTTGACCAACAAGTGTTCCCTTTTCTAGAGTGATCCAACGGTGGTCACCCTGTCCCAATCAATTCTAATTCAATAAAAGGGTGATTGCTGGTTAAGGGGGGGTGATGTAACGGGGTAGCCCGTTACATGAAATTGACACCAAACGGTGTCAATAGGAACGTTGTCTAGCATGACAATATTCTACCAATATTATCCGAGATGGATAATATTGAAGGAACATTATCCTCCTTTGATAATATTCATGCGATGCTCCTAGATTGGTCGATAAAAGACATAATCAACCATAGAGGGCCAACAATCGCTGCTAGACGCGCGCAATGAGTGGTGAGCAGGTTGTCGTCGTACGACAATGTAGATTTATATAGTCCGATAAAGACTGAAGTTATATTGATAGCTTAACTCGACTAAATACAGTTCTCTTTTTACCCTTTACTTAAACGAGTCGTTTAAGTAGATTAGCTTCCTCTGCACGTACTAGTGTACGTGAAGTTTCGTGGCACCCGTACGAAGGGTGCCCCGTTACACTTACAACGGCTTCTTCTTGGTCGACCCTTCTACTTGCCCGAATACAAGACAAATGCCGTGGGGTGGTTACATGTGAACGATTTGCAATCGAACCATGTGAGTGCTCTTAACTCATGTCGAGTATTGTCCCACCATCGGTTGTCGCAGCTCTTGTTACTTGGGTTTGAGTGTATTCTAAAGGAAGTAGCTGAAAAGTAAATGACCACACGTCGCCGACTTAATGACATGCGTACTAATATTTTCGATTCTTGTATTTTATCATTTGTGCACGAGATTGTAAATTACTTCTGAGAACTGTGATATTCGCAACCATACCGATCAGAAGGCGTGAAATGCATAAATTGCAGTAATATACAGGGGTGGGGTGGTTAACGAAAATCTGGGGGTGGTTAGGTAACCCTTGATTCTGCATGTGTATTAATTAATTGGTCGACTTGTGTGCTGAGTCTACTGTCCAATATTAAGCATGCGCTGGTCCTGCTGAGGAAGAGCCATTTATAATATGATGCTGTTATACTTGAATATATATAAGGTGATGCTTTATCGAGACATACTCTGCCTGGAATACGTTTTTCAGTCGGAAGACTAGTCGACAATGCACAGTCTTTATGCTGTAGCATTGTTTCATCGGCATGGTCTCTAAACTTCGATCATACTTCAATTTATACCACTCGCTTTGGCCACCTGAGACCGGGATTGTTTTGCGCTTAATGAGGAAGTTGCAATATATTTGCCTGGTACACGGGCAAATAATATGAAAGCTTAGCATTTAAAGGCAATGGACCTCCGCGACACGTTGATCGATCATAGAAGGCTTGTGTCGAGCTGAATTCGTTAACTGCAGCAACTTAGTTTCAACGAATTGTGAATAAATTCGTCATTTAATCTCGTTTGCAGTGCGTGATTTGCTTACGAGACCGACAATTATGATGACCGTGCACCCACAAGGCTGCATGAGTCATGCTGCGGTCCCATCGTCTTTTCGGACTGTAGCGAAGTCCAGTACGAACGACTACTGTCTTGACGACGATTCTATACAATCGAACCAGTTCATTTTCAGCTAGTGTCTAATATCGTGATAGTTGGCGAATTAAAAGCATGCAGAACACCACATAATGACCTTGTCTTGGTACGACAGTGGTAAAGAAAAATTCGAGCTAAAATGAGTTACAGAACTGGATAGATGAACACTTCTATGAACAAAAGCTACTCTCTAAACAAGTACCACATCAAAAGAAAAAATCGCAAACAGCATAGCACCCTACTTCCAAATGGGATAAGAGATAGCGCGATAGATTACAAGTTTTTCCATTTGCAAGACAACTGTCAGACTGATATACTGGCGCCTGAATGGAGTGGTATTAAGCCTCTCGGTCTTAGTCGTTAGGAGTTCCACAAGAATCAAGAATTCGCACACATCGCCCACGTCGATTGGGTGTGCAGCATATGCTTCGATCGCCACCACTTCGAGAGACATCTTTTGTTGTTATTCCTTTTAGTCAATTCCTTACCGTGACGCTTGAAACCTCAAACTGATCAACCACGAAAACAACAGAATTTTATGATCAGCACTAGTTTTTTATTTGAAGTACTGCTTTTGTGGCAGGTACTGGTTTGAGGAAGTTGCATCAGTTCGGTACTAATAAAGACTTGCTCTTTGCTCTACTCGCGTGCTACGGCGTCGCGTACAACAGTCGACCTGCCATGGGCTCAACTGACCGCAAGTCTTGTTTCAGGACCACTGATTATGCGCAAGAATGTACAGGTGGCTACATGAGAGGTTAGGTAGTCTGTGGGTGGTCTGGGCCGTCCGATGATGGCAGCTTAATCCTTTTTTCTCATGACGAGGCACGACACGCACTTGTGTACAAAACTGAGATCTCCATTGAACCATCACAAATGACGGTCGACGCCATAAGTCGCACCATCGAAATCGAGCTTGCATTTGCCGTTCAGACTGAACTTGCACACGCGGGTGAAGCGTTGACATCAAACTTTCAGTACGCCATGAGCCAAGGTCTTGGCAATGGAACGATGCCGTTAGGATATTAGCTGTTGAACCACTGGCGGTTGCCAGACTTCAACCAACGTAAATGTCGCTATAGTTTTACCGCATGAGAAACAGTAGTGACAACGAGGTTGGCAACCCCATGCGGTGCTTTCTCATGTTAGGATTGCTACAGTCGCAGTGAGTTGCCATAAGCACACACTGTTGTGCCGATCACATTACCCTCGTGCTGTTCGTATTTTAAGTCCGCAACGATTCTAGAGATTTTACCCCGGTCACCCGGACAATCTCTAGCGGAGATGGGACGCTTGGTGCTTGGTGGCTTTATCAGGTCGCATTTGAGGGTTAAAGGAGCCGCCTAGAAGCTTGCGGCATCATCTTGCCTGGCTGCCATTCTGAAAAAGCATTTAGCCGGTTGTTGAAGCGACGACGAGAGGACCCAAGGTACGTCTCAATTCCGTCGTGCCGTTGATGCGACAGATTACGCTAGACACCGCTCGTCTTGTTGTTCAGGATGGTGAGCTCCGCCCGATGTTTCTCAAATCAATGTCAGCTCTGCCGACCAGATGAAGCCACTCCCGCGGGCCGTCTTCAATGTTTTTCGACCCATGTCGTCATGTCGTGACAAGTCCAGAAACCAGCCGGTAGAGCGCAGTCAAGTAGGCTTCGCTACCTTGTGCCACCAGGGTAAGTGGCGAGTATTGTTGTTTGCACCATACCGGCTGGTAAAACGGAACGATGCAGGATACAAGCTGCTGATCTGTTGAAGCTGATCGCTCTCCGGTGCTGTGCACGGGCCCGACTTTTGTCTCCGATAATGTCGATGTCCTCGGATGAGTCTCAAACGTCCAGCCGTGGCTTCTTCCAGCTTAGAGGTAACTTCAGCCGTAAGCAACCACGAAGCTACGACCGAAGAGCAGGCATTGCTGTACTACTTCACTTCATTTTCCAGCTTGCAGTCAACATCCGAAGTAGTCTGTGGAGTCACAGATCAACAGCATGCACGCTTTGACTCTCATTGCATCCGGAGCTGCCGTCTTGGCGTCCATGTCATCCGTGCAAGGCCACGGCTACATGGTTCATCCTGATTCGCAGTGGGTCGAGGGCTACCCGAACAATGGCTATGGCAGCACTATTGACAACGAGATTTGGGGAGTCTATGACAATGCCAAGTATGGTTACGGCGCGAATGGCACGCTCAAATTCTTCACCGAGACGTTTCCGACCAAGGGGTATAAGTCGCTCGGCGCGTTCATTATTGAGAACCAGGATCTCTTCCTCCCTAAAGTCGACCCCAACTGTGGGTTGACAGTCTACAAAGACTCGGCGCGTTCGGAGCTACCGGCATCGGAGCTCACGTACACCGGTTTCACCCACCCTGGACCGTGTGAGGTCTGGTGCGACGACACCAAGGTACTGTTTGACAGCGACTGCCAGACAACATACCCCGGCAAGCCTGCCACGATGCCGTACGACAAATCCAAGTGCGCGGGCGCCAACCGGATGACCATCTACTGGATTGGCGTGCAAGGCGACCCGTGGCAGGTATACATTGACTGCATGTGGCTAAAAGGCGGTTCTGGCATCGGTGCGCCACCCTCAGCTGTCAGCAAGGGCAAGTCGAAAGGTGGTTCTGCTTCCAACTCAACTGCTGCAAGTACCCCTGCACCGTTGACCACCATTGATTCGTCAGCGACCACACCAGCTCCGTCAACCACCACGGGTTCGTCAGCGGCCACACCGGCTCCGTCGACAGCTGTCGTAAGCACAGAAGCTTCAGGCTCCGAAGAGCAAACGTCCAGCGAGGCTTTGTCGTCTTTTGATGAAAGCTCTTCTGACGAGACTGCATCGCCTGCTGATAAGATCGCTACTGAAGAGACCATTTCGTCTGCTGATGAGATCCCTACTGATGGGATCTCTTCGTCTGCTGACGACAGTTCTGTCGATGAGGTCTCTTCCTCCATTGGCGAAAGCCCTACCGACGAGACTCCTGAAGCTGAGGCAACGCCTTCAGTTTCAACAGAGCCAGGAGATACGGCCATCACGGCTCTTCCTGCCACCGAGGCTCCAAGTATATCCAACGTGAGCACTGGTGCAAAGTGTGTCCGTCGCCGGAGCTAGAGATTCTGATTCAGGCCCGCCATTCACTACGATTGTTAGTCGAGTTTACAGTTGTCACCGTCCGGGGTGTACATGCCGTAAGAAGTAAAGTGCTTGTATCGATTCTACTGTAAACGCCCCACTTTCTCTGAGATCGAGATGTACGTGCGATAGCACCTAGGAAATTACCAACGAACTTGAACAGGTCTTGCATATCAGCACCTTCATGTAGTAAGATCCAATATCTCTGCGCTCCATCAGAACAATGTTGTTGTCTTGTCAATCGCAATCAAACGGTAAGCTCATGGTGCTCGAGACCTCGTCCACTCCTGACGCCGTTGTTGATACAGCGACAGTCACACCACTGGTTTTCTTGTGACCGGATAAGTGGCAAAACACAGCAGCTAAATCAAAATCATTTAAGCCTGGAATCACGAAAGCGGACTAACTGAGCATCAGGTGGAGATATGCTATCGTATGCGCTCATAGCAGCTGGACCCATATCATGCCAACCGCGAGATCATCACAAGTTATAGGCAAGAAAACTAATGTTATGCAATGTATCGATTAGAATGCTGCCCACCTCTGCCGGATTGTCCGAAATGAAGCAGAAGCGTGCTGGCGTCGATGAAACGATACTGGACTGGCGAGAAAAAACGCGGGATGCCAGCAGGACCACCAAACTTGAGCCACTGTGCGGATTACCAAGCCCGACAGATACCTTAACGACTTCTCGTGCCTTTGCAAAACCGTCTTTATGATGACAAACCTCCTGCATGGATCGAATGTGAAGGCATACGGTTTGTCTGGAGCTCATCCGTCCTGTGCATCTGCGGGCCAAGCAAATTGCAACAGTTCCCAAGGAGACCCAGCATCTCCAGCTTTTTAGCGTCTCTAAGTACTGGAAGATCAGTTTCGTCAGCTAATGGCCATTGGAACACGTGATCATCGAACTGCAGCAACCGTAGTACGTGGAACCGTGCTTGACGTAAGTCCATAATACTAAATTCACGATCAAAGAGAACGCCCTGCTTACACGAGAGCTAGCCATGATATGTTGTCAAAATCCGGCGCCAATACCCTGGCTCGGGATCTTCGGATATTCTGCACGCATTTCATTGTAGGTAGATGATCATGAAACGTGAATGTCTGAGCCGAATAGGACGCTTCTTTCGACCAAAGTTGCTTGCGCCCGACATCCGTTTGTACTAGTCATTTCTATGTAAAGATAAAACAGCACTAGTGCGCTGGACACGAAAGTAGCGTAGCAACACGCGAGACCACGTAAAGTGCTTGTACCCCAATGACTAGTTAGTTGACGTGGGTCGAACCGTATTTTAAAGGCGCCACAATAGGTTGGACTGGACTTCATGGTGCTCTTAAGCGCTCGCAGACTTTGGTATGGGTTGCATTCTGCACGACCATTTCTTAAGCGTGCATGAAAGTGCGCATTTCATTGTGACTTTGCAGGCTCAATCAGTCTGTGGCAGGTAATTGATCCTCGTGCTTATCGAGATTGTGCAAAGGCAATCGGGAACATTATCCATAACGGGGTTACACAAATGGTTGTAATAACCCGTTACATTGGTTTTGTGCACACAGAAAAAGATCAGCATTACTGATCAGGCGTGCTTTTGTATCAAATACGCTAAGCGATTCCACCAGACCCTATCGGTTTTGGTTAGAGTATATCTATCGTAATAGGGTCTTCATAGAGGCGACGTAGTTCTGGTCGGTACGCAAGAAGAACTACGATGAGGACTATTCAATTAGGTAGCATAGTTTAAAGGTTAAAGACGTAAGTAAGGTTATTAAGCTATAAATCAGCTCATATATTCAGTTGCCCTTTGATCAGTTTCAGAGACATGTCTTTCTAAGACGTCTCTGGTCGTAAGAGTTAAGTGCTTGAGTTTAGGCTAAGTGACAACCTATTGACGGTAAAGGTCAAAAAAATAGTAAGTTAGAAAGTCGAGTAGAAGTAAAAGCTCACATGATTCAAATAATCTTTTTTACAAGAATTTTTTACGTTTTTCAGGTTTTATTTCTTTTCGATATCTTAATTTTTTTTAAAATAAATTCCATTTTTTTGGAACAATTAATAGTAAGTGCTATTAGAATAATTAATCATCATTTTACTAAACAGCATCATTTTGGTTTTGAAGCGGCAGCATGCTATTGGCATTTTGTTCACATGATTCCTTGGAGTCGTAGTCCCCTGAACTAGGAATAGAAGCTTAGTAGCTTGTATTTACACTTAGAGTGAAGTCTCATTAAGTCTGACAGGACGTGAGATCTTTACATAACTACCCGTTTAGTTTGATCGACTAAGAGACTCTACGAATCCGAAATTCTTCCTCTGACAAAGGAGTTATGGTAGCTCCGCTGCAAAATCAAAAAAATACCTATTTGAAGTGGAGTTGTCATGGCGGTCAACGCCCCAGACGCCCTGGTTTGTAATTGTAGTGGATGATTTGTGGTTGCACTAAGTTTTAGAAGTTCTTAGTGTAGTTAGCGCAGAATACAGAAGGATCTCACTTCTAGATTGGATAAGCCACTGATGAGGGTCCCGGCGAGGGCCGAAATACGTCCGGCCCGCGTTTAACACAGAAATCTATCGTTACATATCTTTAATTTCCATCAATACCATCTGCACGTGTTCTTGAAGATCAATCTTTTTTTTGCCGCTTTCCACCACTTTCTGGGCACCGTAATTTATATCAAGGGTATCCAATAAGGGTTTGGCAAATACGTTAGGGCCGACTCACGACGAGGATGACTTCCTGGCTTCGGATAAGTCACAAGTGACAAGCTATAAAACTGCTTCGTGAAAGCGCAAATAGATCAAGGAGATCGACAGCTGGTTTGTCAGGGGTTAAGTGGAGTCGCATAAAAATGCATAAATTCGACGTTTTGGATATGGACACCACTTAGCTTTTTCAAAATTCTATCAGAATGTTTCTAAATCGAATGGGTTTAGTGGATTTACTCTGCGAAATTACTCCTTACGCCGATACGGACACGCGACAAGTACAGCCCCGTTGTGACACTACCATGTGAATAGCGTCGAGATCCTTTGTCGCCGCCAGTGACGCAATTAAACACTTCATTGAGCCAAAATCTCAAATGGACGCTGTGAATACTAAGATTTTGGATTTGCGGTGTAGCAGTTCGCAAGGTCCGTCGAACACCAAGTATATCGACACTGTATCGCGTTGGTGTCACTATTGATTCATGATGCGTCTTGATCTGCACTTGTGCAAAGGTAGAAAGAAGTTACAGTAAAAAATTTCTAGCATAAACTAAATCTTTGGTCGATGCTGCGACATGCACCTGAACTGCACTGCAACTTGACCATGTACCTGTCTGATGGCATTCGTCCTTCCTGCCCATCTCATATAATGATCCCACGTCGCAACCGTGTCGTCTTGTCCCAACGGTCAGATCGCCACCTCGCTGACCCATCTGTCAAGTCATTGACCTGGCTCTCCTTGTCCCATCTACCCGATCGCCTCATCGTGGTCCCACATGTCACCTGGTCTAACCACTGGCCAATCAAGTGAGACCGTAATGTGGTATATCCCTTAAACCCTTAAACCTGTCAAACATGATAGTTTCTAACAGTCACCACGTGTGCCCCTCAGGAAAACAACACTTGCTGTACAATGACACCACTGCAAGAAGCAACACCATGTTCATGCCAATGATGCATCCATCCATGAGTATGCAAACGAAGCAAAGTATGAAGCCGTGATAGAGGAAGTGAGACCGGGCATTGACACAGTTCAAGTAAGAGCTATTTATTACGTGCACTGCGGGAGCAGAAACTATACATCTTCAATTAGGCGTTCTCTATGCCTTACGTCGTAGTCGAGCAGCAATAACGCTCCTACTCGCGCGCGTTGTCTCTTGATCCACACGAGTGACTCAGTGAAGCTTAAGTTCCCTTTTCTTCTTCATACGGTCCAAGTATTCGCCGTAAGTAAACCGTGCCGGTGTGACTTGAGCCTGGCGCGTCAATGGAACACCGGACGCTCGAATCTTGGAATCCAGCTTCTCCGTGTAATGATCCCGAAGTACGACACTCATGGCGTGGTTGAGCTGTCTTTCTTGATCAAATGACAGCCGGAGAGATTTCGCCCCGTCCGCTTTACCGTCAACTACAGCGCCTTTTAGCAATAACTTTGAGGTCCCGTCCGTAAGTTTGTGTGCTTCATAAAGCTGCCTCAAGAGTGCGATGCGGTGCTCGGCACGCTTCTTCGCCAGCTTGGTCGCCTCTGCAGCCTTTGTTGTCAAAGTTGGCGCATGCAACCATTTCACTTCACCCGCCTTAGCCAACGTAGACGACAGCGTTGTCTCAGTCGCTGCAGCATCAATTGTTTTCGACAAAGCATTTGTGTCAAGTCCTCGCTCTTCCGAGGAGTCGTTCTCTTCCGTCGTGGCTTCACCTCTTTTGTGCCCGGCATCACCCTCATCATCGGTTGCCCCAAGCAATCGATTGCGACTTGGGCCGACCTCCGGTCTGTCTGAAGACGGCTGCCGCAACCGATACGACTCCTTCTTACAAGTCGTAACCGGGAAAAGTAATGAGAAAACCAGCAGAGGGGACACTACGCGCATGACTGCTCTTCTAGTGACTGCAAGTGGTAACGAGGCAAAAGTAGAAATGACTAACTTCATGCGTCAAAACTTGAAAGCGTGCACGTTGAGACGACCTACTCGCAGAATAACAACTACATGGCACCCTTTCGCGCCCGGTCACTGCATTTGAGAAAGGTGCTGCATTGCGAAGAAAAAAGTGCCACGGCGACAAGTGAAGCTGTTAGTAATATGCAGCGAACCTGTTGCTGGATACAAAGACGAAGCAAACAGGAAAACAGAGCTGATCGGCAGAAAATCTGGAATTCTTCATTTCTCAAAGACGACATGACACGACGACACATTCGAGCACTGCGGCACTATTGCGATAGTATGGTCGATATATGTGTGACCAATCGATTTATAAAAAATTGACCACGGTGTTCTAACAAGCTGTGTATGATTTAGTGATTGCAATTCGATACAGAGACGGGCTGGAGGATAGTCGCGGAAGGTCATGGATGTCGGTTCCTAGTACAATTGACGTGGATGACTCGTATAGTGTGCCGTAGTACTTCTTCGTGCAGCTGTGCTGGCTGAGACACATGTCTCAAGCGCAATGTCGTCCCGCCATGTTGATCGGGATCTGTGTAGTCGGACCCGCTCGCAGTGGAGCGTTCACGGTGGCTAGCTGAGTCTTGTGGTAAATTGGTAAGACAAACTTTGTAAGAAGCTGTGCGCTTTACTAGCATTTGCTCGAGCCATCAGGCTTTCTTACCGAATACAAAGGTCGTCAAAAGGTATTGAGGAAGCGGCCTTAAAGATGTGACCACGTCGACAGATAACGGTGCACCTCTTCTCTCGACACATCTTGAAGTCGAGCACAGAGTGTAGTCCGACTTTGGGTTGGACCCGCATGTCGAGAGAGCGGCCGAACGAATAGTAACTGTTTTCTTCACTTATGAAATAGCAGGACCGAGCTGGTGGCGTCATGAGCTGCTATTTGCACACTTCTTGTTGCGTTTCTCACAAGCCCAAGCAATAGCAGCGCGCTTGACATGGGCTGAAAACGGGAATCCCAGATGTCCATCTATCCTCACCACACGATGTGTGCTGCCTATTTTATGACAAATTGGGACGATTGAATGGATAGTGCAAAGAGCACAGCTGAAGCCATGGCAGTGAGAAAGGTCATGACACAAGTGCAATCGGGTAGGGCGCATCGTTTGTTTGGTCAAAATGCAATCTGCCACCTCCTCAATAGCGCGCTGAGTGATTCCTCGCTTCACTTTCTCTTTGTTGATGCCGCTCAACATCGTAAACTGCTTGATAACCAAAGTCAGCCCCTCCTTATCGGTATCGTCGCTTTGTAAATCCGCAATTTACAGTGACTTTGTCGGGCGATAGCTTACTGGGATCGTTAGCGCCACCGTTTTGGACGCTGCACTTGTCTACGTCAGATTTCCCTGCAAATCACTCTCTCTCTCTTGCACACTGTTGCACAGAGTCCAATCCAGAAGCTTGAGCGATAGAATCAGTGCATAGCCACAGCAAGCCGCTAGAGCTACACTATATGTTTTATCAAGAGGTAGTTTACGGGTGACATACGGGGAACTAAAACAAGTCAGAAAAAGCTCTTTTATCTTTGCACCTCTGAACTTCTATATATAGCACATTACGGATGAAATTTAACTATCAAGCAAGCAAGTTAGTTGTCGGTAAAAATGCTTGACGCGTTTGCAGTACAGGATAGCAAAATTACAGGTACGGATCAGCATCGCCCTACTACATCGCGTAGTGGTGAAAGCCGCGAAAAACAACGACTTAGATACAGGTGTCATCGTTGGACGAGCGTCTTGCCACAGGGGCGCCAAGTCACAGTACAGACGTCAGTAGCCAAGATTCATGTCAAGAATGCAGTACGGTGTATCGCACGTTGCAAGTCTGCTGACGGCAGATATATTGGCTAATCCACTGCAACATCACAACGGTCGTACTTGGTGTGGCCTTTTCCAACTGCTACGTTCCCTGATTTTGTAACACATCTGCAAGAGTTTGAACTTCTTCGCAATAAGGAAGGGTCAATACGTGTTGGTTTAAGTTGTACAAGATACGATGGATAGACGCAGCGGCTCAGCATTAGCGAACCCTGTTGCACATACGTGACCTGAAAGACGTCATCCTGACAAGAATGTTAGGATGTCGACGACGGACAGTTGCGAGAGTACCGACAATGACGTACATCTCGATCGGAACTGAATCAGTGATAACAGGAAAAGTCGTTGTGGATTGAAGCCCAAGATATCGAGTCACAAGGCGAGACAGTCCGAGTTGAAGTCAGTGTCGTCCGAACGTGTCATGTCGTCCAGACGGATCATGTCGCTCGGTCTTTTTGTCAAGGCGTAGCGTGTGAAGCGGACGGAAAATTGTACCTCCAGGTATACATCGATACAGACACAGAACGCGCTTGGATCGCTTTTAAAATGTTGTGTCAAAAACAAAGCAGCTACTGTTCTGTAACACTACTAGCTCAAAAATTTAAATCAGACATGAATTACCACGCCTGGACACGATACGATGGTCTTACCGGTCGTCCAGAGGACAAGTCAACTGTTGCGTGCGAGTAAAACGCAACGTCTTTTACCTGAATATGAAATTACGTGGGTGTCGTATATGGGGATTTGAAGTGCACTAGCACAGTAGGTGAGTCGCTCTGCAATGATAGCAGCACGAGAATTGCGAGACGTGTGTTAACCAGAAGGCGGCTGATGCTTTAATATAGCGTTACATTTGATAGTCGCTTGAGCATTGGCATAAACAACGAGTTCGAAGTAGCAGACGTAAGAATCACGTCCAGTTGGAATGAAAGTTAAATCCTTGCAAGATATACTACATCGCAGAAATGTCCTTCTCCATTTAGACTTAATTTGAGCTGGACACAATCCGAGGAGGTCGTACTATCTTGTTGATGCCGAGCTACGAAGAAGATTTCAAGCTAGCACCTACGCAATGTGCACGTGACGAAGATGGCGACATATGAAGGGGCAGTAAAAAAGCTTCGGATTCGTACACTGATCGCTGACCAGGCACGGCTGGCAACTTGTCGACTCTTGCCTGATGCGTCGGTCCCTTGATAACATCAAATACAATCAATAAAACGTTTGGCACGAGCGCATAGCTTAAAATACATTCGTCGATAGATTCGCTCTCGTGGTCCGCTATAGGGATTGTGGTATACGGCTGCAGCTTGCTACGATATTAGTGCAATGTCGTATGGTCATCGACTGCGGTGGCCGTGGGAGACTGTAGAGAACGATAGAATATCGGAAACTTACAGTAGTCGGCGTTCTCACTTGTGTTTAAGTGTGTTCATGTGAGCTAGCGCACTTATAAAATACTCGTTTACACTAACGACTACATTGCAAGTAGAGGCTGGCGCGTTCAGCGGTAAGAGTTGGGAAAACGGAATTCGGCTGGTCCGGCCGAGAATAACCGCAGGAGGGACACGGCCAGCACGTGGATGTATGGGCCATCATTTGTGGTGATCTCGTTCATCATGATCTTAAGCATTATACGCTTTGCGACGGACGTGCAAATGCCAGCACAGGTACACGCAATTGGATAGACGCTGATGTCGCAAAGACGTCAGCCAGACTGCAATGACACAGGGAGCGAGTACAACCAGCGTAAATGGAGCTGTCCGATGCAGCCTCCGGTTTCAGTAGCAAAATTGATTGCTGCGCGCGCAGCGCAAGCCGTATCTATCGTTGGCGTTATGCGCAAACCACGATCATGAGATCCGAGCAACGAGCTTGTATCTCAGTCTCCGACTTGATGATTTGCATATGCTTATGCAGACATGCATGTATTTTATCGAGGAAGCTACTAATGAGCCTTCACTTCACTTCATGCATGAATCAAATAATTACATTTGAAATCACCTAAATTGTCAAACTGTTTTGCTGTACTTGTAAACTTCTAATTTAGAATTTTCACAGTCGAGACTAGCCCAGTCATATCCGCAACTTCACATTTAGCAGCTTCTACGACGAATAGTCTCCATATCACCCGCCGAAGCGCGTAAGGCATTGCATTGCTGGCGCAGCAGCAAAATGTGCCAGCTATAGATTAGAAGAATATTATGGCTAACTGACGTCCCCACGCCTCGCGCTCGCTTTGACGACTGCACACACAGTCAATGGGGTATCCGAGATACTGCAAAGAACGATTCATCGCTCATGAAGTGCTACTTCTTCTTGGCGCGTTGCTTCAGCATCGCGTACATCCGTCTGATTGTCGCGCTTGCGGTCGTCACTACTGCTATAATAAACATCTTCATGCATCACTTGTTGTGGACAGCGTTGTATGAGCATTGTAGATTGACTGCTTTGACCTCACTTTCCTTGCTGTTTTTCACCCTTTGTTGACGTTTAATAGTTGTAGCATAGTCTTTCGATAGTGTCAGCTCGTCAAGCGCGTGACAAAGTTGTCAACAGAAACAAGCAGCTCTCCTGTGATCTGGCTAAGGCCTTCCATGTTGTTTTTATAAAGGGAGGTCAGAGGTAGGTACTATAGAGTAGGTGATATGAGATAGAATCGACGTGATTTCTAGAACGTACAACAAAACCATTTAACGATTAAGGTTTTTTCAAATCCAATTACTTGTTTAATGTATGGAGAGAAAGCTCATTGGCAAAAACTGAAGGCTCACTGGCGGCACTCGAAATCTAGATAGCTGATAATCTAATCAAGAGAAACAAATATAAGTGGTAAGGATGTGAGTATCGGGTTTGACAAGAAGGATGTGAATTTTAGGAAGAGGGGCGTGAATATAACAATTCCCGAATAATATTGCTTTAGCATTATTTTTGCTCACTCACTCTCGAGCTGCACGAGAAAATATTGTGCTCCAGCATTCAACAATCTTTCGTTTTTTTGAAACAGCACCAGCTCGAGACAACTAGATCGAATGTAACCCATGTCATGGTCACAAATTATGCACGTCTGTATATTGCTATTCATGCTGTACAGCCATTTGCATGTTCACAATATTCTACTAGTCTGTAATGACAGAATCCGTCTTAGCGTAGCCAAGACTTTGAAGCACTAGGCGGATGTCACCTAGCACCGCAATATTGTCGATAGTAGCTGGTACACGGAATGGAGCCGAGTCAGCAATTGCTTGCATAGTAGCGCGCATGACCTTTCCAGACCTTGTTTTTGGAAGCGCGTCCACTAGACCAACATCCTTCAAGCACACAAAGCTTCCCATCTGCTCACGCGTATCGCGCACTACTTGCTTAATGATCTGCAATCAAGCAACAAGGTACAGAAAGGATCAGATACTTGACACTGCAGTAGAGATTGTTAACAAGAAACAGCTTTGTAAAAGCACACGCGCCTCTTCCTTGGATCGATCGATCTTTTCATCAATCACCAAAAGCGCAAGCGGGACGTGCCCTTTGAGCGTATCAACGACACCAAACTGCATGTAACAAACAGCGATCAAATTAAGACAATCATGGCTCGTTGCATACAACTGATAGTTGCACGCACCACTGCACACTCCACGACTTCCGGGATTTCTATGATAATTTTCTCGATCGATCCCGTAGTAATACGATGTCCTGCAACATTTATCACATCATCCGTTCGTGACATGACCTGGCAACAAGTCATGATACGCCATTTAAAGTCAGTACAGAGTGTCAAACGATACCAAAGTCGCTAAATGCGATCGCTTACATAGACAAAACCGTCTTCATCAATGCACCCGGTATCTCCAGTGTGGTAGTAGCCTGGGAATCGCTTAAAATACTTGGCATAGAAATCGTCTGGGTTGTTGTGCAAGGCAGTTAAAGCACCTACACAGGAGATAAACAGCACTCGTGAGAGCTGTTCGTAGTCTAATAACAGCTGCAATACCGTACCTGGAGGAAGAGGCAATTTTACCACAAGCTCGGCATCCTGATCCCCGATTTGATCACGATAGCTGTGATACTCGTCGTCTTTTACATGGGCACCCGTCAGTAGCTGGACATCCCACCCAGGCACTGGCCGAGCAACCGAGCCCTCTTTGATATGTGGGTGACCATCTTTGCTTGAGCCATCATCCTGCATACCCAGGCACGGGGCAGTGATAGGCCATCCGGTTTCCGTTTGCCACCTGATCATGATGCATTTAGTCGTGAACATTGGCATCGAAGATGTACTAAAAATAGATGTAGACATACCAGTGGTCAATGATAGGTATGCCAAGCTGCTTTGAGAAAAAGTTGAATGTCTTAGGGTCACCACGCTCTCCTGCCACGAATATCGTTCTACATGCCACAAAAAGCGCATAGCTGTTAGTCTTCATTGGATTATCATCATCTACGTAGTGTACTACGCACTTCAACGTCTTTCGGATCTCCTCTTTCATTGATCTAATCAACAAACCATCCGGGTCTTCCTTGCGAATTGCTCGCAGTGCAGTGGGTGCCGTAAACATCGACTTGATGCCGTATTCTGTGATTAAACGCCAATATGCACTCGCATCAGGCGTTCTGACCGGCTTTCCTGCGTACAGAATCGACTACAACATTATTAGACAGCGAGTAAACAAGCTGCAAGTGCTATCCAAGCCAATCGAAAATAACACCATACCGTGCATCCGTGGATAAGAGGGCCGTATACAGCGAGAGAGTGGCCAACCGTCCAGCCCATATCCGAAGCGGCAAAGAACGTATCATCCGGTGTTATGTCGAATACATTGCGCATAGCCCATTTGAGAGCTACTGCATGGCCACCATTATCTCGCACTACGCCTTTTGGACGACCAGTTGTACCTGAAGTATACAACAAATAAAGCGGATCCGTCGCAAGCACCGGCCTCGCATCAATAAGACTTCCCGTCGCCATGACGTCTCTCCAGTCAATATCACGTCCCCTCGTCATCTGGAAAGGGCACATATCGCGCTGCAGCATGACGACATGACTGGGTTTCCAAGACGAGCGATTTAGTGCGCCATTGAGCAGCGGTCCATAGTCGACAATCCCCTTGGGCTCCACACCACAACTCGCTGAGATAATAATCTGGGGGGTTGCATCATCAATCCGGGCGGCAAGCTCCAAGGTAGCAAACCCGCCAAACACGACCGAGTGAACAGCTCCGAGTCGCGCGCATGCCAGCATTGCCACTGTCGTCTCAAGAACTGCCGGCATGTAGATCACCACACGGTCACCTTTCTTGACACCAAGCTTCTGCAGTCCACCAGCAAAAGTCGACACTACACAAATAAAGGATTGACACAGTACGTCAGACCTACTCGAACCGACGTCTTTGTCGATAAAATAATCGGGGGGGTCAGATCTATCGATACATAATCCGATAAACAGGTTGGTGGGTGGGTAAATGGAGACATGACCTTCTTGTAGGAGCTGACTGTATGTCCTTGTTGTCTTGGTATCTGTAAGTGGGCAGTCGTAGTGCACCGCTACGACGTCGCCCCGCCCATTATTCACGAGTACATCCAGTGCGTTATAGCACGTGTTCATCTCTCCTCCAACAAACCATCTCGAGGACGGCCCCTGCGTGCTGTAAACAAAAGTGACAAGTTCACATTTTTCACATGAGATCGTCCGATACTATCCTGTCCTAGATGTTATATCGGACACGTGTTACGCACGACTCAATCACTCGAGTCCATGGCTTGAACCATGTTAAATCTTGAGCAGCTTCAGCCCAAAATTCCTCGGGGGTGTCGAGGCTGCGTCGGTATTGCTCTGTATAGCTGGCGATTGCTCGCCGCTTGGGTAGTCGAGCGACGTGGATGCGAGTTAATTGCCGCAGCATGAGGAGGACGGACAAAGAAAGAGAGTGGGAGATGAGGATCTCGGTCGGGTGAAGATAGGAACTTCAACGTGTGCAATGGAGACTTTCAACAAGAGAAAAGACAGGATGGTACTGAACTTTAATGCTATCGATCTACGGATACGCAGCAACAAAGCTTAATTTTTGCTCAATCAGGAAATGTGCGGCCGATTGGCATACGCCACTGATACGTACCTAGGTGGTTCCAAATTACTCTTACAAACTATAACCTTGGATCGGAATGAGTCATGCTTAACGTATCACCATGTATCCACCAGATCAGCCAAACCTTGGTGTACCGGCATGAAGCGATAAATGATACTCAATCACGCTCATGCAGGAAATGCTGCAACCTGGACCGTCGATGTGAAATAGCAACTTAGAACGAGACTAGAATCCAAATTTCATCGACGCACGTTCTACCCAGGAGTGCAAATAGAATTGTTTGATTGCTTCAACTTCGACCAGGGCATTGTTGCTGTAGCAGTCACGAGTTGACCCGCTCAGAAACTTTTGCGGCGAACAGTTGAACCCTTGAAACCTTCTTCAGCTTCAGGATGTGATGAGTCGACATCCCTTATCGATGTAAAATTAAATCTCCAGGTTCTTTTCATTTGCAAGCGTTAATTTATTTTAGCAAAAAACGCGACTTTGTCATGCATCTTGCAAGTTGAGGCAATTGAGTTATATAGTGCTCGTTGAGCTGCCGGTGGAAGCAAAACGAGCCTTTGTCTCAACTCGCGTGCAATACTTCAACATCATACCACCCTATAAAGTGCGGAAAATAGAGCAACACAAACTCGTCATCAGCTTGTTCCTCTCGCCACACTCGTGTCGATGAATGTCCATTCTTTACTTGCTACTTCTTCCTCCACCCTCCTACACGGCTACCACCCACCCTCATCGCTCCTTGCAACGTCCCATGCGTCCGGCGATGTATCTGTCACCTCGTATCTGCTCTCCATCTTCCCTCTTTCACCTCACTCTTGACTACCTTCACTTGCGACTATTTCCAACTTTAACGCGGCTTCACTCAATCACTTCTACATCGACCCTGCCATTGCAGTTCCGTTGGCAACGTCAGCCGCCATGGAAGTGTATGACGAACTAGAACCCGGGGGAATAGTCTACGTGGACAATCACGGAAGCATAAGGAGGCAAGTTAGCGATTAGATGCCAACCATTATATAAGCAAGGCGTCACGTCCAAAAGCAACACTTGTAAGCGTACCTGATACGCACGCTGGGAGGCGTAGCGACGATTCATGGCTTCGGTGTCGTCAGGTCGGGTAAAATCGAGCGGCTGGTCTTGCGGGAGCCGCTGCTGGTGACCATAGCTACTACGGTGTCCCTGATGACCCACGAGTACCTGCTGCGGCGGCTGCTGCTGCAGCTGCTGTTGCTGATAGTCTACTTGAGGTTGTGCACCTTGCAGTGCGTACTGTCCGTAAGTACCGTACCCGTAGCCAGCAGCACCTTGCTGATACTGCGGATAGCTATAGGCAGCATTGTAGCCGTAAAAGTTCTGCCCAAAGCATCGGCAACACCGCCGCGCAATAAACAGAACCGTCAACAACAGCCAATTTCTTCGATAACGAGCACAAATACACGTACCTGGTATCCAGTCTGGTACTGACCGTATTGCTGGGCATAGTAGTTCGTGTGGGTAGGAGTCACACGTGCAGCTGCCGATCGACCCCATGCACATCGCACCTTGACATTGCTGATGACCGTGCCATTCATCTGCGAGATCGCCATCTCTGCCGACTCCTTGGTCGTGTATTGCACAAATCCACATCCACGTCCAGGCGGTACCTTCACCGACACGATTTCTCCCAATGCACCAAACCGCGCACGCAGCTCTTCCTCCGTTGCTGACGGGTCCAGGCCACCGACAAACACCGTGGTATTAGCCCCGTCTTCCGACTCTGCAATACCAAAAGCAGCCTGCTGTCGCGCCTTGCTTCTCTCCGTAGCCACACTAACCCGCATCGGACGTGACGAGCAAAACACTCCATTCATGGTCTGCAGAGCCTGGTCGGCTTCCTCTTTGCTGCCAAAGCGCACGAATCCGAACCCCTTCGACATGCGCGTCACTGGATCCATGACCACTTTGGCCCCTCGCACACTTGTGAAACGAGCGTTGAACGTGCTCAAAAGAACTTCGTCACCGACATCAGGAGCCAAGTCACCGACAAAGATCGAGTGATCGTCTGACGTTTCAATGCGACGACCACCGGCGCCCCAATTCATGCGAAACCGATGCACTGTGTTTGCTATACACCCCGTCAGTCCAAAGAAAATCAAAAAAAGAAGATTGGCACAACAACAGGTTAGAAAAACTAAAGAATACAGCGACTTTGTTCCTTTAGAAAGAAGCAAAAGTTCGTACGAACGAGCTGGCCATTGAACATCTCCAGCACTTGCTGCGCGCCTCGCTGGGTCGGGAACTCCAAGAAACCATAGCCGGCGGGATACCCCGTCACCTTGTCACGAATTAGCTTGATTACCGGCTGTTCCGCTACATATAAAAACATTATAAAACAAGCGAAATCCAAAAAATTCAAGAAGGTTAGCGAAAAATTAAAAAGAACCAGCTACAAATAGCTAGCTACAGATTGCGACTTAATTAGAAAATAAACAACGTGTCGTCGTGACGTTTGGACGGAAATTTAGTAGAATGTTTCTATTGTTATGTACCGGCAGAGGCAAAGAGCGAGGCGATGAACGCTTCGTCCCAGTGCATTTGGATGTCGCCCATCCACAATGTCTTGCATTCCGTCTCCATAGCTGCAGCAGCGGTGGGAAGAGTGACAGGGATAGAGCGACGCGCTTCGAGGGTAAATGCGGCCAGTGGCGGTTGGTACTCGATGGGGCGGCCGTTTATTTATCGAGTCTCCCTCTCCTTCTCTATCTATCTCTCTAACTCTCTCTATCTCACTCTCTATCCCTTTCTCTCCCTTTCAACGTCGTGACAAAGACTTGCGTCACAAACGGGTACACGTTATGTACACTCTGTACCACCGATCGCGAAATTGGACAGTAGGGGTAGGAGGAGGAAATCGTCAGCCACGATATGGCTACATTTGTGTGTGGTCGTGCTGTGAAAAGTGTAGCCATTTCGACTTGAATGATGTCGATGCTGAATTTAGTAAGGGCGATAATCTAAATTACGCTTTTGTAAACATTTGCCTAAATGCTGCTCGCGTGTTTGCAAATTCTTCTCGCTGGCACTTCTTAATGTTCGTACTCTGCTTAGCACCATACATGAACGAAATGGCGCATTGAGCTCGAGAATTGAAATCTTTTCGTCATCTTCATGTACAGTCTGAAAGAGTCAAAGGTGGTTGTAGAAACTGTGAACAAACAGCTTCATGCACGTGCCACCGTGCAAAAGATACTTTAAATGCTGTCTGAAAAGTTGAAAAAGACGCTATGGACCGTCTCAATCGAAGCGAGACATGCCTCTCGTCCACACTTGCGGCGACGAAAAGCGTACGACTGCATTGGTTTTGATATGCCATCAATTTTCACACCATGCATCTACAGCTGCTCGTGGTTGAGCAGCATCTACAAGCTATTGAGTCGTCAGTCCGATTGCAGCGCTCGTGTGTGAAGAAAAGGTCACGCACGACTCTAGAACTTTCACAAGATGCTAATAAGAGGCATCGTCCAAGACGGGATCTGTCTCCGCGCCAGGATGTTTGTCTTTTCATGATAATCGATGTTTTGCTTCAAGAAGCAAAGAAGCCAAGACACCATGCGCTGATTATCATATACATACATTGTGAGCGGAGATGGCGCACACGACAGCTTAAGCCTCACTACATGATCTCTATCACTGTTCCCAGCTACTTGTGCCCCGAGCTCACAACCCGTCCCACCGACCTGGGATCATTGCCGATCAAGTGCACTTCACCTCCTCCACCAACATCCTGGACAAAGTCTTTTCCCTTCCAACATCCAAGATAGTTGCTATTGCCATCAAATCTATCACTTGTCATTCGCTCATTTCCTATACCTTTACGGTCGCCCATAATGCGCCGCAAGGTGCTTCGATTTCGACCGTCTCTGTCCGAGCCAAAACTTGACGTGGTCCCCGTTGCTCTCCAGCAATGCAAACAGCACATACAGACACGAAACCACATGGCCCAAACACAAAAGCGCTGTGACGGTCCACACTCCATATCGAGCACTGCCACGCCATTGCACCGTATTGCTATGACCAGCTGCAGCTAAATTTTGTTCTCTTGAGAAAATCCAAGCACCTGCAAGCCCCAAGCCTACGAATTGGTTCAGGATGGAGGCTGCAAGAGACAAAAGATGATTCCTCGGTCGTAAACCAAGAAAACGAGCATAGGAAGCAGTGCAAATTGACCGTCCTGTGATGGGTTCAAAAAAGCTGCGACATCGATAAACAGCAGCAAAACGGCAGCTCCACAGGCTGCAAACCACGCATAGCGTACACCGGCGGATGTTCTGGAGACAGTAGCAAGATCTGGAGCATCAAAGACGGAGCGGGGAGTGGCAGAAGCGCCTGCAGGAGCGCTATAAAGCTCGTCGTCGCTGTCGCTGTCACTAACTGCACGGATGATCATGAATTTTAGGTTTGTTTTGCGATTTTGGGTCCTGGAATTGGGCATGAATGATTATTCGTGGAAATTGTATGATCAAAAACAGTGTATTTGTGCAAATGGATATCTGCGATGGGTTAATGGGTATGTGTACGCATGACGCTGTGTTCATGCCAGGTTATTAAATTGGCTACATCAGAGGGGCACGTCGTTGATAAGTTGGAGCTGGGCTGGAGATATGATTTGTTTAGTGATTGTGTATCTTGTAACATCTTGTGGCAGGAGAAGCCTACAGATTAAGCTAGCTAGAATGTGCTCTTTACGAAAAGGTACTAGGTTGCCGCAAGAGGAAGAGAAGCTGTAACTTTCTACCATATTCGGCAAACGGATCATTTAACGTGTACATGTGGTCGTCGCAGTGATTCATCGTAAGTTTACTTCAGTGTATTGCGGACAATCCTTTTAGGCTACGAGACTTGCAAAACTCAAGGGGAAATGCATCGAATGCCACGCTTAACAATACCTTTTTACATCTCCTGTGTAGTTGGAGTTATCAAGGCAAAGAAACAAGACGTACAGAAGCTAGTTGGAAAAAGTTGTGTACACTATCGATAATACACTAAGAAGCGGAGGATTTTGGACGCATAGAAGTACTCGGCGTCAAGCGATATGCGTATTTGTGCTGGTAAAAGTCTCCGGGTTGAGGGTTTAATGCCGTACAGATGAGATAGCAGATTTATAGGTTCCACAAGCGATAATGTTGCAGCGAAAATCTCACTGAGACTGTAACGGGGTGAATCATTACATAACAATTTATAAGAAATTGTTAATAGAATATAACTATAAGAGTTACATTCTCAGAATATTGTATAAGGACAAATATTCTGTAGCACTTACGAGTAGTTCCTGATTGGTTTATATAGGCCATTGTATCAACCAACGAAGACGCGCCACGACAGACGCACGCAATGAGTGGTGAGCAGATAGTTATTACGCACATTTGTATTTAGACATAGTTAGATGAGGATAAATAGTGATTTACAAACAGACATTAACTATTATAAATACAGTTCTACTTTTTACTTTAACCAAGTACTCGCTTCTTCTTAACGTCTTCCTCTGCACGTACGAGTGTACGTGAAGTTACGAGGCACCGCCTTATTCTGTCATCAGAATAAGTAGCTTGTACTGTCACCAGTACAAGCTTCAGGGTGCCCCGTTACACCTGGTAGCACTTCGTAGTCCGTCCAAGGACCACGTTCACATCTAACATGAACATGTTGGATGATGAAGATGACCAAAGCTTTCACGCTACGCGTGACGGCTACTCCCATTTGAGCGATGTCGAATGGGATGCGGTTGAACGGATGGGTTCAACCATGGGCATCCATGCTGTTAGCGTCATGCTAGAGGCTCTCAATAGAGATGCCCAACATGCTACTATCGCCAAGTTCAATCAAAATGAACTTGACGCTGAACGCGAGAAAGTAGCCTTGCTTCACCAACAAGGCTCTCAACAAGCAGAGTTGTTGAGAGAACAGGGTGCTCAACAGTTTGAACTGTTGCGACAGCAGCAGGCTGCTGCTGGTAGGTCGATGCACTCGCGTCGACCCGAAACCTTGAAGATTGACATCTCCAAGTATAGGGGAGTCGAAGAAGACTCCCTCTTGAGATGGTTAGTCGAATTGGATGACGCCATAAGGGCGAGTCGCATCGACGACGGGGATATGCAAGTTGCATTTGCTCAGTCAAATCTGGCAGGACGTGCCAAGACTTGGGTACTGGGGCTCAAGTTGCACGACCCATATGCGTTTAGGTCGTTAGAGGTCTTCAAGTCGCGGCTCAGAAAAACGTTTGAACCGCCTAGAGCTGAGTTCAGAGCTCGAACAGAACTCTTGAAGCTCAAGCAGGGTAAGCGTGATGTGCACGCTTACGCGCAACATATACGACATCTCACGAGTTGTATAAGTTCCAACCCGTTTGATGAACACACGTTGGTTTCGGTGTTCATGCAGGGTCTTGCGGATGGTCCCGTCAAGACTCACCTGTTCCGGCTCGAACTAGATTCACTAGAACAAGCCATTTCCATTGCGGAACAGGAAGACTTCAGTCTGAGACAGGCTCGCGCCAGCTCGACATCATATCGTCAACCGAGACGATAAGACAGCGGAGGTCCAGAGCCGATGGACTCTGTTATGTAGAGAATGAGAAGGATCGCTCTACAGACTACAAGAAGTTGCAGAAATGCAACCGATGTCAAAATACAGGACACTACGCTTACGACTGTAGTGCCCCTCGTCCAGTGTCTCGCAACACTGGGCGTAATGACCGTCCACCCATGAGAAAGGTTCAGGGACGCGGGTCCACTGTTGGTGCAAAGACGCAACAACGGGATGGACCATAAAAAAACGGACAGGATCAGTAGGTGCGGAGCACCCTATTGGTCCAGCAACGTCAAGAGAATTTGTAGGCTTCTTGATTAAGGTTGCTCCCAACACACAAACGTTGTGCGTTGCTGCTCTAGGTAATGAGATCTCACTCATTTCCTTGAAACTCGAAGGGACAAATAAGTTGTCCCTTCGAGCTCTAGTCAATTGTGGGGCGTCCAACAATTTTGTGCAACGCCAATCGCTAGAAGATGGTCACTTTAAGTTTGTTTAGTGTGACACACCTCCTACGAGTATGACGGTACGTCTTGCGACAGGCGCATTCGTAACCGTCATGAAGCGTATAGTGAAGATCCACTATCCGCTAGAAGATACCCAATATGACGATGACTTTATCGTATTGGATTTGGATGACAAATTTTGATGTCATCCTTGGAATACCGTGGCTCAGAAGGTACGAACCACGGGTAAACTGGCAACATCGAACAGTAACGATGCCTGCCGCTTGTTTATCAGATGGCCATCTGATGAACGTTTTGGAGCGTCCACAAGCGTGTGGATGTACTACGAGTGAGTGCGATGGCCTCACTTGTGGTACGGTCGTTAGTACGATTGCACAAAACCTTAGTGTAACAAACGGTTACACTTCGGAGCAAAGTTCCGGCGGCTGTGAGGAAACACAGGCTGCGCCGAAGGTCCACCACTCGAATAAGTCGGGTGGACTGGGACAAAGATGTATCCCTAGCGGGGAACATCTAGAAGAGAAACAATCGATCGCTCAGGTTAAGCGAAACGATAATCCTAGATCGACTGGAGAGTCTTTCGTAGAGGATCTCGCTGTGGTTGCGCAACCCCAGCTAGAGGAAGTAAAGGGAATAAGTCCCAAGATTACAAATACGGCGGAAATAAGTTCACCGAAACCCGCGGGAATAAGTCCCCGGGAAGACGAAGGAATAAGTCCTTCGAAGCCTGAGGGAATAAGTCCCCAGGAAATGACAGAGACATTGAATGTCATAGTCAATAACGGATCAAGTGTAGGCGCTTATACACTTGATCTGATTGCGCCTCCGAAGTTGACTTCGGAGATCACTCAGTTGCCAACGCTCGAACATAAAAGGTTCTTGCGTGATCTGCGTAGTGGCAAAGTCAAGCAGATCTGCGTACTCGTCGCTGACGACGAGTGTGTAACCGACATAAGGTCAGCAACAGTGTTCACTGAGAACGAGAGAGTTCTCAGTAGTTCATATATGGACGAGAGTTTCCTAGATGAAAAGACACGAATTGAGCGATATGACTCACAATCGCGGGAATCGCTCAAGACAAATCCTCTCTGTGAAGATTTGGTTGAATTCAAGGATGTATTCCCTGAAACGGTTCCGTGCGAGTTACCGAAGGATAAAGGTATTCGACACGAGGTCGAGCTTAAACCAGGCTCGAAGTACTGTGTCATGAAGCAGTGGCCACTGCCTCGTGAACAAGTACTTGCGATCGACAAGTTCTTTGCCGATCGTTTAGCTGCGGGCCATGTGAGGGAATCAACTTCCCCACATAGCTCTCCGACCTTCTGTGTGCGAAAAGCAACAGGAGGGTGGCGGATAGTGCACGCGTTCAACAAGTTGAATGCTGCAACGGTACCGGCTCAGACGCCGATGCCAAGGAAGGACGTAATCATTGATGGTATGTCAAAGAGTACCATCTTTTCGTTCATGGATTTGATGGATGGCTTCTATTAAATCCTTATGCGAGAACGGGACATACCCTATACCGCAGTTAGCACGCCTAGCGGGCATGCTCTGGGAATGGCCAGTAACGCCACGAGGGCTTAGTAATGCCCCTGCCACGTTCAACAGATGTGTATCACATCTGTTGAGACCAGTACAAGAATTTGCGCCGAGTTATTTCGATGACGTATTCATCCGTAGTCGGGCTATGGATGGAAAGTCGGATGTAGAGGTTCACAGGTACCACGTCCGACAGGTTCTTACATTCATGCGAGAGCATCAATTGTATGCAAACCTCAAGAAGTGCATTTTTGCAGCAAGCGTAATACCACTTCTTGGATGCATCGTCGGTAAGAACGGTGTACGTCCTGATCCCGAAAAGATCAAGGCGATCACAGACTGGCCTGTGCCGGTTGATGTCAAATGTCTTCGAAAATGACTTGGGCTAGCGGCGTACTTGCATTAGTATTCACGCAATTACGCCGAGATGACTGTACACCTCTCTCGTTTGTTGAAAAAGAACGAGAGGTGGTTTTGGAACGCTAAATGTCAGCGCTCCTTTGATGTTATCAATCAGAGCTTGATGCAATACCCAGTCCTAGCAATTGCCGATCAGGACAGGCCATTTCATGTGGTCTGTGATGCCAGCGATTTCGCAATCGGCTGTGCATTAATGCAGTACGATCTTGAAGGCGTTGAACGCGTCGTCTGCTATCCGTCGCGTCAGCTGCAACCAGCTGAGCGGAGCTATCCAGTGCATGACAAGGAACTCCTTGCCATGCAGTATGCACTCGCGAACTTTAGAGTCTATCTATTAGGAGATAGACCCTTCATTGTCTACACTGACCATGCGTCATTACGCACGGCAGTGAACAGCCCGCACCTTTCACAACGAATGGCGCGGTGGTTGTCATTCTTTGCAGAATACAACTTTACGGTAGAGTACAAACCAGGACAACTTAATGTCGTCGCTGATGAACTCTCACGTCGTCCCGACTTTGAAACAGTCGCGAAACCCAACAGTGAGACAGTCACTGTTGCGGTTATGACGTCCTCAGTCCCATCTTCAACGTTGAATGATGATGTGAGGCGGGCATACGCCCAAGATGTTGAGCTTGTGAATTTGTTGACACATCTCTCACAGCCGTCTCGAGAATCGTTTGAAGCGACTGTCGTCTGCGTATCGATCTGCATCAGATCGATACACTACTCGCTACGGGTTACTGTATTATACAGCCGTCACTGGTGACACACCACGTGTTGTCATTCCAGATGATACTGATCTGCGTTTGCGGATCATGTTCGAGTATCACGATGCTCCTATAGGAGGACATCGTGGCCGGGAGAAAACTTATCTCACGGTGAGTCGAGACTTTTACTGGCCCCGCCAGTATCAGTTTGTGCGAAAGTATGTTCGCGCATGCGAAGCCTGTCAACGAGTAAAGTCAAGTCCTTCACTGCGTGCACCTTTACAGCCTCTACCAGTTCCGGCTGAGTGCTGGGACCATCTCAATGGATTTTGTCTTCGGGTTACCCAAAGACGCACGCGGGAATACGGATATTCTCGTATTTGTTGACAGATTCAGCAAAATGGTACACCTTGTGGCTGTACCAGAGCCAAATACGGCAAGTGGCTGTGCTTGTGTCTTTATTGACACCATTTTCCGACTTCATGGGTTGCCCCGTGAACTCGTATCAGACAGAGATCCACGATTCACTGCTGATTTCTGGCGTTCCGTGTTCAAATCACTCGGAACGCGCTTGAAGATGTCAACATCTGATCATCCAGAGTCAGATGGTCAGACGGAACGTGCCAATCGTGTCCTTGAAGAGATACTTCGAGGATACGTACACTTCTTTAAGAGTTGGAGTGAGTTCTTGCCAATGGTAGAGTTTGCCATTAATAACTCGGTGCATGCTTCCACGACACATACACCGTTTTACGTGAATGGCTTGCGCCATCCGCGTGTACCCACCTTACTAGAGTGTAACTCTGGTTTAAGGGAGGGAGGGACTCGCGCGAGCAAAAAACCGATTTGGTTCACGCTCATCACGCTCTGACGAAGAGGTCATTGCGTTTGATGCCGATATCGACAACATCGATATCGAATAAGATGATGCCAGTGGGAGCGAGGAAGCCTTCACTGAAGAAAAGATTGATTTTGCTGCAGTGCACTCACAGCGCACTGAAGCTAATGAGTCATCAGATGAGTTCATACTGGATCGTGAAACGGAAGTCCGTGTTGTGCAAGATTCCATCGCCGAAGCGGTGGATAAGCAAAAGCAAAACGCTGACAAGAATGGAAGGGCAAACACTCTTTTTTTTAAAAAAGGTGACTTAGTCCTACTGTCTACGGTTAACCTACCAAAGCATGCAGTGGCTAACTTGGGTAGTAGTAAACTACTACCCAAGTACATCGGCCCATTTCGTGTATTGCACCGCCTAGGCAATGCATACACGATCGAGTTGCCACGTAAGATGCGAACGCATCCCACGTTTTACGTTGGTCGGCTTAAGCCGTACCATCAGTATGCTGCTTCTTCCGATGAAGAACGCCCTTGCAATCAAGCATCTCGCAGAGAGCCTTGTGCTCCCGATGATGGGCATCAACAAGGGTCTGAAGAGCAGTTATCTCAGCCCGAGACCGCTCAACATCCCCACGAGCTACCCTTAGCTCGTCACGAAGAGATGTCAGAGCTCTCTCGTTATGAAGCTGAGCAAAGGCAAACTCAGCTCGATGCTTCGAGACAGCGTCCGCCAGTTGGAGACGCATGTCCCGCTCATGTTCGAGATCGCCGCGTAACCCTTGCGTTACGCGATCAAAGAAGCTCTCGGAAACACACGGATCCCCATGATCGTGTGGAGAGCGTCTTCCCTCCTCCTCCACCTCCATTAGAGGACTCTCGCGGTGGCCAGCGCTATCTAGTTGAGCAGCTGTTGAACCACCGCGACGTGAACGGAAGTCGGACGAGTTATAAATCTCGTCCGGTGGCGCGGCTATCCCCCGTCCTGGATACTTGGGAGCCCCGCTCCCAACTGATGGTTGACGTACTGGGTCTGGTTGAGCAGTACGACGCGGCACATCCTGTGCCGCAGAAGGACCGCTGGAGAAAGTCTTCCCGGCACGGTCGTAAAGGGATTTCAGGTTGTCAATACCTTCGTACATCTCACTAGAGATACGTACGCGCCACCACGGGCTATTAGGGAGGTAAGCCTCCTTAGGTGCTCGTGCAGAGTTGTTCACACAACATGGGCACGAGTCTCCCCAACTGAGGCAGGGTAATCCTTTCTCCCTTGACAGACGATGCAGCTTGTAGCGTGCACCTGTCGGGGTTCGCTTTTCAAACTTATCACGAGCTTTGATAAGTTTGTCGTTCCAAACGTCACGACCTACATCCTCAAGGTTATGGATGTAGGCGCTCCACGCTTGAAGCAGTGAGGGACCATCACGCTTTTGATTCCCACTGTACCATCGATGTCTAAAGAAAGCATCGATGAAGAATTCATTCTCAGCGCGATAGTTTTTCGCGCTGGGGTCAAGGTGATGGATCCTTGACGAATCGAACAACCGTGTTCGATAACGATCACTCGTCGTCGTCGACAAGTGATCCATGACTGATTTGGGAGGCATCCATGCCTTCTTCTCAGGAGCGAGACGCAAGACATTGCGGTCCCGCTCTTCCTGCGATGTGCCGACAGAAGTACTGGCACCTCGTTGCGAAGTGGTGTCCATAGGAGAACCGACACCACTGTTAGCGCCCGAGTCTCGCGACCTTGAGCGCCTTCGCTTCGGCGGTGGTTCATCTTATTCATCAGATGAACCAAAGATGCTGCAACGCAAAGCATCGTCCATGCCACACTTCGCAGGCGGCTTGGATTCGATCGCCGTCGATACGGATCCATCTTCCGTATCAGGAGAGTATGAGACACCGAGCTCATACTCTGTGAAGACATGAGTGTCTTCATGACGAGCGCCTGCATCACCAGGTGACACAGGCTGGGTCGCTTCAGCAACCGATGAGACATCAGTTGCTGTAGTTTCTGCTTCGGCGTCCGCACAGAGACGTGCAGACGCGCTCTCGGCGGCCTTGCTCGCGCATCGCATGACCTTGTTAACCATGCGATGAAATGTTGGAAAGTGGACGCGGACCAACAAGTGCATACCCTGTCCCAAGTGATTTGGGACGAGTATCCATTTAGTCAATCAGCCACTAAAGTGACTGATGGTTAAGGGGGGGTGATGTAACGGGGTGAATCGTTACATAACAATTTATAAGAAATTGTTAATAGAATATAACTATAAGAGTTACATTCTCAGAATATTGTATAAGGACAAATATTCTGCAGCACTTACGAGTAGTTCCTGATTGGTTTATATAGGCCATTACATCAACCAATGAAGACGCGCCACGACAGACGCACGCAATGAGTGGTGAGCAGATAGTTGATACGCACATTTGTATTTAGACATAGTTAGATGAGGATAAATAGTGATTTACAAACAGACATTAACTATTATAAATACAGTTCTACTTTTTACTTTAACCAAGTACTCGCTTCTCCTTACCGTCTTCCTCTGCACGTACGAGTGTACGTGAAGTTCCGAGGCACCGCCTTATTCTGTCATCAGAATAAGTAGCTTGTACTGTCACCAGTACAAGCTTCAGGGTGCCTCGTTACACTTACCTTCTGGCGTGACTTGTAAATCCATGAGCGATGAACGTGTCAGATGTGTCAGGTAGTGCAGTAGCAATACCCTCCAGAGCCTGCCTCCTTATTGATCATCAAGTGATATGACGTTGTCTTCGTTGTGGGTCGAACAAGCCGCACTGTATCAAATGTAGACTTATGTCAGGCGCAAATACTTAAAAAAAAGCGTGAAAATGGTGGTAAATATTAAGGCTGACTGATTAGAGTTTGTAGGAAGATTAGATACGGCGTTTTTTTTTGCTTTTTTTTTGGACAATAGATACCAGTTTGAATGTAGGCAAGAGCGATGGACAGCAAGTACAGCTATCGAATCATAGTTTCGGAAACGATAGTGCATATGCAACAGGCATAGCCCTTTTTTTTTATTCTTTTCGCTTTCCATTGCCTCCCTCCCGCTAGCAACATTGATAGAGAGCACATTGATCGTAATTACTTAGATGGACGGGCATCTGGCTGCTATAAAGCGAGCGTTGATGTTGCATGAATTCGATAGCCGCTTCACTTTTAATGTGAGATGGACTGTAGCGAAGCTACCACAGCTTTAAGGTCAGTGAAATACTTAAGGGTTAAGCCAGAGGTTACGGCTATTAGCCAATTAGTTCTAAGGAACAAGTATTATCAAGCTAAAGAGTCGAATAGTTCTACAGAACTTAGGGCAGACTCTATAAGCTATCAGCTCAGAATACTGTAATTCTTAAGGAACCACATACTCAATACGCGAGAGGGGAATACCGGAGTTAAAGAACTTTTAACCCATGGCAGTTTTAAGGAACTTTCAAACGCAAGGTGCGAAAGGTGGAAGTCTACGGGATTCTGCTTAATATGAGAACTGAGTTTATTTAAAAAAATTATCAAGAAAAATCCTACTTTAAGTACCCTAGATTCTACTACAATAAAACTAAAACAAATTTCAGTATTCGAACTAAATGGATGGTTGGGACATCACTCAGTCATCAAATGATGACGGTACAAAGTACATACACGGTAAGTACCGTAAACCTGGGAATATTGACTGATCGGTATTCCCTATTGATATAAAAATCTAAGGCCGCACCGGTCTCCCATATTACATGTGAAAGGTCTTCAACCGATTTAGCCAATGGCTAGTGTGACCCCGTTACATGGACAGTGAAAGGCTTTTGTTAGAACATACCGTCGTTGTTGCTGCCATATGATATCTATAGGAATGTGTGATTTTCACAAGAACCCTTTGTGTACAAGATTCAATGTAGTACATCTATTTTGAATGCCAAATTCGATGGGATCGTCACATGGATGTTTAGCAAGGCAAACTAAAACGTTGTATACCTTGGTGACCGGCCATGTGACGAGTCCAATTTTAGATTAAAAGCAGACGATCTTCCGTAAATGAATTTAAAAAAAAGAAAACAGGAAGCCAATGATAGCATCCTTCTACAATATCTCCACCAAGTTGATTTTTCAAGAGCACTTACAGCTTCTCGACCTTTACATAGATCACATGTCTCTAAAAAGAATAACAGTACGGATAAGATTCGTAGATGGTGTGCCGATCAACAAATAGCGGTTTAAGGGTAGAAAAGACGATACAAACATTTCGCGCATCTTCTATGCTCATATGATGCAGGAGGCGTATCCAATACTGACTGAAATTTGCATTACCAAAAAGCCTCCCTTCACTTCGTTACCTTTGAATTGGACAAATTTTGCACATTGAGGCTTACCGCGGTCCATGACATCTCGATGAGCAAGCTAAAGCGCTAGAGCCACAGATACATCGGCTTTTGATGGCTTAGGCGTCCCTTTACACCTTGCCCGGTGAAGAAGTTGCATCTGCGTTTCAATCGATAAAAATAGTGATCAGGCCGTGAGATGGAAGCATATTGATTCATCCGAGCGCATTCTTTAGCCCTGCGATCAACTATCTGTATATTGAATTTGCTCATCAAAGAAACGTTGCTGTGAATATTTACAATCATCGATCTAATTATGATAGCTCGGTTGCTGGAACACGTGGTGACTCGTGTTTCCATCATTCATATATTTCTTGGAATGCTTACCGAGGAATATCGATTAACGACAACAAGGTCATTTTTGTAAAACTTAATGCAAACATACACAACCACTTATTTCCATTTGCTTCACATGTATAGCTTGCTCCGTGCGTGAAAGGGGTAAAATATATATTCGAAAGCGTAGTTAGAAATATTCAAAGCTTTTGGAATGAGATAGTACATATGCAAGAATGTGCTAGAAGAAAAACGAGGTACTTCAGATAGCAACAATAATTGATTTTGCATTCTTATACGAAGGTATACCGTAATGAGGACAGCTGCATTGTTCGCGGAGAGACTAACGGAGTCGGGATGCCCAAGAATGGCTGAGTTGTGGGTAAGGGAAAAATTACGGCTCGTTTACACAATGAGAGAGCGATGCAAACGTCACGAAAAATGAGGCATAGCGATCAATATATACGCTTAGTGTGCTGAGAAAGGGGCGCATGCTTATTGGTATAAAAATATGGAAACAGTTGGAATGTTTCTGAGACTTTATTGGTGACCAAGAGCAGAGATGAAAAAGTGCGATCCTGGTCGAATTATCGTTTTAGCGAAAGATTGGGACGTTTCATGCAATGTTAATCAGTAGATAGTAATGCGATAATTGATGCCAGCATCTTGGCGGGGAAGTGGAAGTAGAGAAAGCAGCGGATTGTTTGTTCAGATACGTGATACTAATAATGCGGCTAGGTGATGAGCAGCGAACATAATTTGGTGGTAAGGAATTTATGGTAGTTTATGTTAGCATTCTTATCTACTGTTAATTGATTGTATGTAAAGGTCACTTAGACGTCGTACTTCTCGAAATGTACTGCCCTGGCAATTGTATTAGATGCTTATTGAATACCGCAAACACCAAAGAAAAGGTCTTTAATGTAGTGGCGATGTTTTATGCTCTACTCATTTTGAGAAATTGATGATATTTTTATACTTAGCTGCGCCAATAGTCGCTACAATGGAATAAAGAATGATAGTAATATATTTGTAAGTACTGGACAATTCTATGGAAATGCGGACGCGGCTTTGTCATAATGGCAAACTCTCCCACAGTAAATGCTCAGCTCTGGTGTGACAGCTTCTTAGGTAGATGTAATAGAAATTATGCTTTAGGTGATTAAGGAGAGAGCGCAACGCCTTTAATTACTTAGTGGATGTGCTCCTTTCAGTAATAATGTGCGAGATTGTTAACATTGATTGCTTGACAAAAGCCTTGCATTAATTCTATTATTTAACCTTCACAGATAACTTCCAACCTCGAAGGAGAAATTGAGTGTTACCACGTATCCTGGAGCGTGATAGACATGCTTACAATGGAAACATGCTTCAACGATTGCTACACTACTTATTGTGCATTATAAATCACGTTATTGACACCCTTGTAATCATTTTTTGCAAACCTATGTTCTTGTTTTGTATTATACAAAAGCTTAAACAAGGTGACACTTTACATCGATCTGTCTAACGCAATAAGCTGATACATATATTTGCATAGTAATTATATCAAGATACTACATGAGATTGTCCATAGCCTAACGTAAATCGCAACATAATTGAGCGTGAACCAGGATCAATATGCTGTCGCTGATCACATGCGCTTGTTGTGGATGTACATAAGCATTTTTTGAATCATTGCAAAGCATTCGGTTTACTGACCATGTCGCGATGCAAAGTCTAGTTATCGCGCAGAAAGATGTAGTTTTATTTTCCAGCGCTCATTGATGATAATTGTGTAAGAACTTTTACCATGATCTGTAGATTGCCGCATTTATCTGGGTTGAACGGAAAGAGTTTTTGCAATGTATTCGGATCGATTTACCCCTTTTAGTACTCCGGATAGTGATGCAACAGATCAGTATTCAAGGACGCCTACAGATCGCTTATCGAAGTCTTATTATTCTGGTGGTTGGCTTTTAAAGATGTTATGGCGCATGATATTATTAGTTTTCGCAATCACAGGCGCTATGAAAACAGACAGAGCCTGACCCTT